GAGGAATAAAGTAAATTGAAAATATTGCCTAAGATGTTTTTGTGTTAAATGTAACAGACTATTGGGACAGTGCGATCTATATTCAAAGATCCCACAAGTATTTTTCAAAAAATTAGTTTTCTTTCATCATACATGATAATCTTGGATGACTTAGCACAGGCAACTGGTTCTAATAAGAGCTAATGCAACATGATGAAGAACTGTACAAATGGTGGTGCTTTAAGTCATGTAAATCCTTCTGTAAACAGGTGCATAATTACGTTTTTTCTAATACTCTTTTTTAAATTTATTTTTTATTTGTGTATTATGGGGTACAAGTGTTAAGGTTATACGTATATTGCCATGCCCTCTCCCCCCGGTAAGAGCTTCAAGCGTGTCCATCCCCAAACGTTGCACATCTTACTCGTTGGTTGGTTGTATATACCCATTCCTCCTCCTCCTCCCCACCCTCCTGACACCGGATAAATGTTACTCTATATGCCACTTAGCTGTTGATCATTAATACCAATTGCTGGTGAGTACATGTGGTGCTGGTTTTCCATTCTTGAGATACTTCACTTAGTAGAATGGTTCCAGCTCTATCCAGGAATATACAAGAGTGATATATCACCATTGATTCTTAAAGCTGAGTAGTACTCCATGGTATACATATACCACATTTTATTAATCCACTCATGAATGGTGGACAACTTGGGTTGTTTCCACAGCTTTGCAATGTAAATTGTGCCTCTATAAACATTTGAATGCAGGTGTCTTTTCATAAAGTGACCTTTTGATCTTTTGGGTAGATGCCCAGTAGTGGAATTGCTGGATCAAATGGTAGATCTACTTGTACCTCTTTGAGGTATCTCCATATTGCTTTCCACAGAGGTTGAACTAGTTTGCAGTCCTACCAGCAGTGTGGAGTGTTCCTCTCTCTCCGCATCCACACCAGCATTGTTGTTTGGACTATTTGATAAAGGCATTCTCACTGGAGTTAAGTGATACTCATTGTGTTTTGATTTGCATTTCCCTGATGATTAGAGAGTTGAGCATTTTTCATATATTTGTTGGCCATTATTCTGTTCTCTTTGAGAAGTTTCTGTTCATGTCCTTTGCCCATTTTTTGATAGGGTTGTTGCTTTTTCTTGCTGATTTTCCTGAGTTCTAAATAGATTCTAGTTATCAGGCCTTATCAGATGTGTATGTTGCAAAATTTTTCTCCCATTCTGTGGGTTGTCTATTTGCTCTCTTACAGTTTCTTTGGGTGTGCAGAAGGTTTTTAATTTGATAAGGTCCCATTTGTTTATTTTTGTTGCTGTTGTAATTGCCTTTGGGGTCTTCTTCATAAATTCTTTGCCTAGGCCAATGTCTAGAAGGGTATTTCCAACATTTTCCTCTAGAATTCTAATAGTTTCACACCTAAGGTTCAAGTCTGTTACCCAGCGTGAGTTGATTTTTGTGAAAAGTGAAAGGTATGGGCTCCATTTCAGTCTTCTACATGTGGTATCCAGTTTTCCCAGCACCATTTATTGAATAAGGATTCTTTTCCCCAGTGTATGTTTTTGTCTGCTTTGTCAAAGGTTAGTTGGCTATATGAGGATGGTTTTATATCTGGTTCTCTGTTCTGTTCCACTGGTCAATGTCCCTGTTCTTAGAACTAGGGAAGGAAATGTTTCTCTGTATTGTATATTCTCTGAAGATATATATAAAATTTCTTCTCTTAACTGAAAGGTAGTGTCAAATAATGATTAATAGCACAGCCTTGGAATCAGGTCTGACTTCATATTCAGGCTCAAATATTTATCATCTCTATGGTCTTTGTAGTGTTACATAAATTCTGTAAGGCCAGTTGACTTAATGTCAAATGGAATTAATAATAATACCAACCTCATAAGTTGTTATATATAACAAGAGTTAACTTATATAAAGTACATAGACTATTGCCTAATAAATAGTAAATGATAATAAACGATAGTCATTATGATTATTGGCCTGTGATAGATCAGAATTTTATAACTAAGCAGTTATACTCTCCAGGGTGAAGTTTCTCTGTTTTTTTTTAAATACTTTTTTTAGAAATTTTGGGTATATTTAGGAGTACAAGTGGTTTTTCATTACATGGATGAATTATATAGTGGAGATGGGTGGGTTTTTAGCATACCCATCACCTGAACAATGTACATTGCACTTGATAGGTAGTTTTTCTTCCCCTATCCCCTCCTCCCTCCCCACTTCTGAGTCTCCAGTGTCCATTATCCCACTCTGTATGTCCCTGCATAGCCATAGCTTAGCTCTCACTTATAAGTGACAACACGCGATACTTGGTTTTCCATTTCTATGCTACTTCACTTAAGATCATGGACTCCAGTTATCGTCCTACATATTTCACAGAAGTATCTCATTTGGTACCTCACTATGCAAGATTTCACCATTATAACATATGAGAAATAGTCAACCTTGCATACAATATCCATTCTCCTACTTAGTTAGTAAATATTTTCATATCTACTTCCTACAATGATCCAAGCACCAGTGTTGCACTAGATGTCGGGACTGGATGTCATGGTCAGCCAAACAAATATAGTCCTACCCTCCAGAAACACAGAGCCTACGTGGAATAAAAACAGACAAATGTAAAATTACAACTGTGATAAGTGCCCGAGAGAGAGAAAGCGTGTACCTTACATCCTTGAGGGTCTATAAAGAAGGACTCGATGGAGGACAGGAGCCTGAGAATGTTCCTAAGGAAACAGAGGTTGAACAACAGAAGAGCTAAGTAAATTGGGGCCGGGCAGGAGCAGACTGCAGCCAGAGGGAAAGCACATGGAAAGGCGCTAGTCGGGAAGGAGCATGAAGTATGAGCCACGCAAGACCCGGAACACAGGCCAGCCTGACTAGGTACTAGAACAAGAGAAAGAGAGTGGTTCTGGAGCAGCCTGAGAGAAAACAGGGTCAAACCAAATAGGACTATGTAGTGTTTCTTCTTGTGAATGATGAGAAGCAGATGAAGAGTTTGGGGTTTGGGGCATGGCATTATCAAATTTATATATATATTTTAAAACTGACGACAGTCTGTAGAGCGAGTGTATCATATTTGCAGATTTAGAAAGCACAGACACAGCCCATTGCAGCAACTCAGATAAGAATTGGTGAGAACTTCAACTAGAGAGTTGGAAGGAGAAACAAGGAGAGTTAAGTGTATGCGAGAGATGCTTAGGAGGCCTATGAGCAGGAATGCCAGTACTATATGGCAGACTCGATCCTTCCATTAAAATAATTAAAATGATAGATTTTTTAAAAATGGTAAATAGTCTTAAAATGTCAAAGAGTGGGCAAGATAGGCTAATCTCCATGCTAAAGAGAAAAGGGGACATATAGCATTATAGCCACTTTGACCCTGAAGACATTTGCTGAACCTGACAAATTTAAACTTCATTACTCAGACTCTCGCAGATTATAAACAGAGAAGAAAAAGCCTAGAGTTAAATCTGCCCTATCTTAACCCCATGCACTTACCAGGATATAGGAAAATTTACTTTGACATCGAGAAGAGCTCAGGAGGAAGTGGGGGAACCACCTCTGAGATAACATAAAACAACTATTTTTTTTTCTCATACAGATTTGCTAATATATATTATCTTGGTGGTGCAATACACTTCAAGCTATTAATTTAGCTTAAACAAGATTAAGTGGGTGCCAGATAGTTTATGCCTGAGACACCTGTAGAAGCAAAGGTAACTAAACTCTGCAAAGAACCACCTGTTGGAAAACAATCTTCTGTGAATATTTTCACATTTCTGCATTTCTGCATGGTGCAGGCTTTCTAGGCAAAGAGCACTGAAAAAATGGTTAAAGAGAAAAAATTAGCCAGGCATGGTGGCATGCCTGTAATCCCAGCTACTCGGGAGGCCGAGGCAGAAGGATTGCTTGAGCCCAGGAGTTTGAAGTTGCTGTGAGCTAGGCTGACGCCATGACACTCTAGCCAGGGCAACAGAGTGAGACTCTGTCTCAAAAAAAAAAAAAAAAAAAAAAAACAGGTATTGTCTGATGATTATTATGCATTTTAGCATTTAAGATAGGTTAAAACATGCAGGAACTGAAGCATTAAAAGCCAAACTTGCATTTCATGGGTTGATATATACATTTTCTGGAACTACACAACATTAAGATTTTAGATATATTACTCTTCACATATTTCTTGCCATTTTTTTAGTTTGAATAAAAATACAAGACATTTACTCAGTAACATTTGGTATTCATATT